AAGGATTAGCCCAAGGGATTTGCAGTTTGCTTTTGTAGCAACCAGACCGGCCATCGGAAGGCCGAGTATCCATAGCTGCGGGGGACGGCACAGGGAGTACCGCATTGATCTGCCCCTGCTGCCGTATGAGCTAACGAGATCCGACCTGCGAAGGCCGAGGCACCAAAGGCTCACGGGAGAGCCTTCCAGTTGATAGAAGAGGAGGACCGCGTAGCGCCCGACGTCGTGGCTGGTATGTATTCTTTCATTTTTGCTTATATTGTGGTATGCTTAGGTACTTTTCTTGTGAATTCTGTACGTGCTCTGGTGTTATTTGACTCGGGTGTGAGTCGATCTTTCGTATCATTAGCGTTTAGTCAGCACATCAGTATCCGACGAGAGGCGTTGAGTTGACCTCTACGAGTTTCTATAGCCGACGAGCAAGCGGTATATGCGACTAATGTGATTCGAGGATGTTTACTCGTGATCTTCGGTGTTGAGTTCCTGATAGATCTAGTACCGCTTGCAATGGGAGATGTTTGTGTTATTGTAGGCATGGATTGGTTGAGTTGATTCGGAGCTGTTATAGATTGCGAGCATCAGTTGGTGACTATACGAGACCCTAGTAGGGGAGTGCTCAAAGTGTACAGAGAGGGTACTAGAACCGGATCAGCTTTCTATTCTGCCTCTCGAGCGAGGCAGAGTTTACAGCAGAGTTGAATGGGTTTCTTGGCGTATGTCATGGATACGCAGGTTGGTAGTGATAGATCGAGTTCTGTTTCAGAGGTGCCGATAGTGTGTGAGTTCACAGATGTTTTTCTTGAGGAGTTGTCGGGTGTGCCTCCTGAGAGGCAAGTGGAATTTTGGATAGACCTAATGTCGGGTGCGGTGCCGATAGCCAAGGCACCCTATCGCCTTGCATCGCCAGAGATGCAGGAGTTATCCTCTCAGCTTCAGGAGCTGCTAGGGAAGGGATTTATCAGACCGAGTATCTTGCCATGGGGAGCGCCGATCCTTTTGTGAAGAAAAAGGATGGTTCACATCGGATGTACATCGATTACCAGGAGCTGAACAAGTTGACGGTCAAGAACTGTTATCCACTACCGAGGATCGATGATTTATTCGATCAGTTGCAGGGCGTGTCTTGGTTTTGCAAGATCGACTTGAGGTCTGGATATCATCAGATGAGGGTGCGATTTGAGGATATCCAGAAGACAACTTTTAGAAATCGTTATGGTCATTACGAGTTTGTGGTGATGCCTTTCGGGCTCACCAATGCATCGACGACGTTTATGGACCTCATGAACAGGGTGTGCAGGCCGATGTTGGATCGTTCGGTGATCGTATTCATCGACGATATTCTCATGTATTCGAGGTCCAAGGAGCATCACGAAGAGCATCTGAGAGAGGTTCTTGGAGTACTAAGATTAGAGAGGCTTTATGCCAAATTCTCGAAATGTGATTTCTGGTTACGAGAGGTCCAATTTTTAGGACACCTCGTTAACCAAAATGGGATATTCGTCGATCCAGCCAAGATTGAGGCTGTTATGAGTTGGGAGGTGCAAAGATCCCCTACCGAGATCAGAAGTTTTCTTGGATTGGCTGGTTACTACAGGAGATTTATCAGGGATTTCTCCAAGATTGTTGTTCCTCTCACCAGATTGACCCGAAAGGGCGTGGCTTTTGTAAGTGGTCCAGAGCAGCAGACCTCGTTCGAGAATCTTCACCAGAGATTATGCAGAGCCCCAGTTTTATCCCTTCCTGAGGGGATGGAGGATTTCATGGTGTACTGCGATGCGTCAATATCTAGGTTGGGTGCAATATTGATGTAGAGGGGTCTTGTGATAGCATATGCATCGAGGCAGCTGAAGCCTCATGAGGCAAGGTATCCCACCCATGATTTGGAACTGGGGGCAGTGGTGTTTCCCCTCAAGATTTGGTTATAGGGATGAGCAAAAGAACCGAACCGGCCGGAACCGGCCCAAACCGAACCGGACCGGGGAACCGGCTTCGGCCAAAATGAAGAACCGAACCGGCCCGGCGGTTCTACCGGTTCCAGTTCCGGGTCCGGTTTTTGCCGGTTTTTCGAGTTTGGAACCGGCTAAATTTTGATGTATCCAACGACTAAATTACTTTGCGTTTTATTGGTTTTTCGGGTCCGATTTTTGCCGGTTTTTCGAGTAATTCCAACGACTAATTTACTTTGCGTTTTATTGGTTTTTTATGAAGAAGTGGATGTTTAAATACTAGTACATAATCAACATTTTAATAATAAACATTTTAATAAACGATTCAACATTCAAGAAAATTAACCATGGATCTTTTATTTAAATTATTACAAGCAAATTAAACATGGATGTCGTCAAAGTTATGTTATTAAGTATCCAACATTCAAACATTCAACATTCAAAATACACTTTCGACATTCAAAATATACTTCCAAGTTTCACCAACAAAAAAAAAAACAAAGTCTAATATGTGGATTCCAACACTTTTTTGACATTTTGACTAATTCCCCGATCTCTTCCCCGTTAGCTTCAAGTTGTGTATAGCATCCACAATGTCTATATATAATACAAAAGAAAAATGTTATTACTTACTAAAATGTAACAAATACTAATAAGAAGTCAAAAATAAGATGTAACAAGTATTAGTGTGTTACCGATAGCGAGGTCATCGTCAGCTAACACATCGTGCACTTCGTCGTAGTCATATATAGGCAAGCTACTCTTTCTTAGCCAATCTTGAGAGCATATCAATGCCTCCACAATCACAATGGACAAATTAGTACGGTAGTCGGTAATTACTCGACGACCATTACTGAATGTGGATTCGGATGCTACGGTGGAAATTTGCATCCCCAAAATATCTATTAATAAACAAATTAGTGTATAATACACGACACAAATATATAATTTAAAATTTTAAATTAGAGTAAAAGAAGGTCGATACCTCTTGCCATTCGAGCAACGATCGGGAACCGCACCACATTATTTTTCCACCATGTGAGGATATCATATCCTTTGTCAAATCCGATTGGGTCCTCGTTTAAGTATCGTTGCAATTGAATTTCTGACGAAGTCGAGGGGAAACTTCCCGAAGTCATATAGCTTCCAAAGAATTCGTTTTCGTCATCAAAATTAACAACTTCTTCGGGAGTTTCTTGTTGAGACGATGAGGTCATGTTTGACCTTTCCAAGTATGTCTTGAAAAATTTGTCCAATGCATTCGATATCAATAACCTTTGCACGTGCTTTGGATTCTATCTCATCAGCGGACATCTTTTTATCTTTGTTCTTGGCTTTAAGCATTTGGGTAAAAACAACTTTCATAAACTTTGACTTGCATTGATGATCTAACAATGTCGCAAAGAAGACATAATCACTTATAGTATCATAGTCACCCCAATATTTGTCATATTTATCTTTCATATCCGGTACCATAAACATAAAATCCGGGTTGGTTTCATGTTTCCTAAGATGTTGCTCTATATCTAGGATCTCCGGGGTATACGTATGGAAGATAGGCTTTGTTGAACACGAAATTTTTTCAGTTTTCTTCTTAAACTTCTCAAGGAACTCCATCATCTTTTTAATCATCTCAAAATCTGAATGTGATGGTACCCTTCCCACAGTTTTCTGAAACATGGGATCTACAAAAAAAGAACAACAAAATCATATTACGTTTTATTGTTGTTAGAAAAAAAAAATCAGATTTGACACCCTTCCTTGCGGGGCTTGTAACTCATTCAATTTTTAACCAAATCAAGCATTTTTATAGTCTAAATTAAACTACAAATCCTAATCTACATGTAGTAAAAAGATTCAGGTCAAAACAAGTTAAATTGAATGAGTTATGCACATTTGAACAACAAAATCACATCACGTTTTATTGCTGTTAGAAAAAAAAAATTCAGATTTGACACCCTTCCTTGCGGGGCTTGTAACTCATTCAATTTTTAACCAAATGAAGTGTTTTTATAGTCTAAACTCAACTACAAATCCTAATCTACATGTAGGAAAAAGATTCAGGTCAAAACAAGTTAAATTGAACTATTTATGCACAATTTAAAATTTGGACTGATTGCTAAAGAAATAAATATTGCTAATTTTAGTGCTGAAATATATTTGATTAATTGATTTTATTTACCTTGATGGCTATATTCGAGAAATGCGTCTTTCACATCGTACGCTGATCTTAGCAATTCAAAGGTAGAGTTCCACCTTGTTGGAGTTTCACCACACAAAAACCTTTGACTTTCTACAGCCGCATCCTTCATGGCTTGTTTAAAGGTCTTGATCCGTTGCGGGGAGGCTCTAATGTATTTCAGCGCATCTTGTAGGTTTTTTACATGATAAACTTCGTGTTTTAACCCCATTTTCACAACTAGGTTTATGATATGAGCCATACACCTAATGTGAAAATGTTTGCCATTCTTGTAAATACCCGGTAGTTCTTTCACAATGATGTTGATTGCCGCGTCATTTGTCTTGGCATTATCAACGGTCATCGTCATGACATTCTTCATCCCCTACTCGTTTATGCAAATTAGCAACTCCCGGGCCATGTCTTCAGCTTTGTGAGTATCAACCTCTCTAAAGTTGACTACCCTTTTGTGCATGACAAAATCTTCGGTAATGAAGTGGGCCGTGACAACCATATAATTTATCTTTTGACACGAGGATGTCCACGTGTCGGTTGTCAAGTGGATGGCTATTTCGGGGTTGCTCAAATGTTTGTACAACTTCTGCCTCTCCATTAAATAGAATGACACAACATCACGTGAAATTTTATAACTTGAAGGCAATTTCACCCTACCATTGAGGGCGTTCACAAATTCTATGAATGCCTCGTTTTCAATGAATTTAAATGGTAGTTCGCCGATGGTGAAAAGGCCTAGCAAGACAAGTTGGATCCTAGTATCATCATGTTTCCATGTGTATACATGACCCTCACCATTAGGAGCTTTCGTAAATGACAACTTTTGTTGTTTGTCATCAACTTCTTTCGGTATGTTGTCTGGATTTAACTTGCACCCATTAAAATGCTTATTTATTGAAGTTGTCCCATTCCGGTTTGGATCCGCAGCTAGTAAATGTAAACAATAATTACATTCGGCCCACTTTCTTTCAATTCCATCGTCCTCCTTTATCCATTCTATCTCGAAGTATTTCCAAATAGGAGCGGTACAATTATCTCTACCCTCACCTCGTCTAGTTGGGTTAATCCGGTCCCTTAACTCTTTTTGAGTCCTTTTTTTGTTTTTGGGTTTTGGTTTTATTGGGTATTTTTCTTGTGTTCGTTTTTGTGGTGGTGGTGGTTTTTTTGTTTGTGTTGGTTTTTTTGGTTGTCTTCGTTTTTGTGGGGTTGCAAATTTTCGTTTTTTTTAAGGTTGTTGTTCTTGTGGCTCCTCTTCTTGGTTTGATTCATCACTTGGTGTGACATTCCATGCCGGTGTTTCTTCTATATAATCTTCTTCTGAATCTTCTCCATAATCCTATATTCTCAAAATAAAACATATAATAAGTCATATTATGTTTAAATGCTGAAAAATAAATATAAAAAAAATCAGATTTGACACCCTTTCTTCCGGAGCTTGTAAGTCATTCAAATTTTAACCAAATCAAGCGTTTTATAGTCTAAATTCAACTACAAATCCTAATCTACTTGTAGGAAAAAGATTCAGGTCTAAACAAGTTAAATTGAATGAGTTATGCACAATTGAACAACAAAATCAGATCACGTTTTATTGCTGTTAAAAAAAAAAAATAGATTTGACACCCTTCCTTGCGGGGCTTGTAAGTCACTCAATGTTTAACCAAACTAAGCGTTTTTATGGTCTAAATTCAACTAAAAATCCTAATCTACATGTAGGAAAAAGATTCAGGTCAAAACAAGTTAAATTGAATGAGTTATGCACAATTGAACAACAAAATCACATCACATTTTATTGCTGTTAGAAAAAATAAATCAGATTTGATACCCTTCCTTGTGGGGCTTGTAACTCATTCAATTTTTAACCAAATCAAGCGTTTTTATAGTCTAAAATCAACTACAAATCCTAATCTACATGTAGGAAAAAGATTCAGTTCAAAAAAAGTTAAATTGAATGAGTTATGCACAATTGAACAACAAAATCAGATCACGTTTTATTGCTGTTAGAAAAAAAAAAAATCATATTTGACACCCTTCCTTGCGGGGCTTGTAACTCATTCAATTTTTAACCAAATTAAGCGTTTTTATAGTCTAAACTCAACTACAAATCCTAATATACATGTAAGAAAAAGATTCAGGTCAAAACAAGTTAAATTGAATGAGTTATCAACAATTCAAAATTTGGACAGATTACTAAAAAAGTAAATATTGCTAATGAGCTAAATGCTAATCTTACTTGATCAACAAAGTCTTTTCCAATCCAATTAGCCGGATTACCATCTTCAATATTGGCATCATGAACATCCGAGTTTCGGTATCTTGATGATGGTACATTTGGTAACCCATCTAAATCCTACATTCTCAAATTTACACATTAATTATATAACAAAAGTACTAAACAAATTTGTAGTTTTGACAATCTTACATAATTACATTCATACTATAAACAATAAACTAATCTAACAAAAATCTTGCATGTATGTCTACAAAGTACATTGTTAAATTGAGCTTAAAACATGAAACATATATTATATGTACAACCTTTCATCCGTAAAGGAGTACTCCACTATGAGACTATGATCAAGAATCAAGATCTTTTAATTAACTAGGGATAACAATGCATATATTTGGAATGGATACAACAAAAGCAAAGAAAAAAGGCTTGCATGCATACCATTATTTGGAGAATCATTGAAGCATTGAAGCAAATATTGAAATATATAATCTTAAAACATGAAATATAAATATATGCTCTTACTTGATCTTCATGGACATCCATAGTTTGAATCATTGAAGCAATTGAAGATGAAAATCAATGAAGAATTGAAGGATGATAAAGAATTGAAGATCGGTTTAAAATTGGAGATGGAAACTTGTAATCGATGGAAACTTGGAGATGAAGAATTGATTCAATTGAATGATGATGAATGAAGAGATGCCGATTGCCAATTGATGAAGATGATAGCGAGTAGGGTTCGGCAGTTGGGGAGTTGGGATCGTGGCCGAGTGCGTTTTTTTTGTGTTAAGTGAGAGATTGCGAGTTGCGACTAGATGCGAAGCAAGGAGAAGTCCAATCGACAGCAACGTGATATGGGGTTTTCTAGCCGGGCCGGTTCCAGGTTTTGGGCCGGTTCCAATAGCCGGTTCTTTCCGGGTCCTGGTTCTAAATAATCACAAATTTATAGTATAGGTCCCGGCCCGACCGGTTCCATTGGGTGCCGGTTCCGGGACCGGTTCCGGCCGGTTCCCCGGTCCTTTTGCTCATCCCTATTTGGTTACATTATTTGTATGGGGTCCGATGTACCGTATACACGGACCACAAGAGTTTGAAATATTTGATGGATCAGCCCAACCTGAACATGTGTTAGAGGAGATGGTTGGATGTGGTGAAGGATTATGACTGTGAGATCCTATACCACCCGGGCAAGGCTAACATTGTAGCCGATGCTCTGAGTCGCAGGACGGAGTGTGCTTCGATATGAGATATATGTGTGAGGATGATGGGGATGATCCCAATATTGGATACCATCCGAGAGGCTCAGAACGAAGCGGTGCTTCCCAAGAACCGCAAGAGGGAGAGGGTGATTGGGTAGGTGCCTGGGTTTGTCATAGATTGTCGAGGACTGATGACCTACCAAGGACGGATTTGGGTGCCCTACTCAAGCCGGGCTCGTGGTACTCTAATGGAGGAGGCACACAGATCGAGGTTCTTGATTTATCTCGGGGCCACTAAGATGTATTTGGACCTGAAGGAAGATTATTGGTGGCCATGTATGAAGAGGGATGTTTCATAGTTTGTTGAGAGGTGTTTGACATGTCGATAGGTCAAGGCAGAGCACCAGCATCCACACAGTCCTTTGCAGCCGCTAGAGATTCCCCAGTGAAAGTGGGAACAAATCACTATGGATTTTATCACTAAGTTACTGAGGACCGTGTGTGGAGTAGATGCAATATGGGTGATTGTGGATCGATTGACAAAGAGTGCTCACTTCCTCGCTATCAGTGAGAGTTCTTATGCGGAAAAGTTGGCGAAGATTTATGTGAGGGAGGTGATATCTCGACATGGGGTGCCGATCTCGATTGTGTCCGATCGAGACGTGTGTTTTACTTCTAGGTTTTGGAAGAGATTTCATGAGGAATTGGGCACACGCCTACATTTTAGTACGACATACCACCCGCAGACAGATGGACAAAGTGAGCGGACGATTTAGATGCTCGAAGATATGCTGCGAGCGTGTGTCTTAGATTTCGGAGGGAGTTGGGACACATACTTACCCCTGGCTGAGTTTTCTTATAACAACAGCCACCACTTGAGCATTGGTTTGCCTCCTTTCGAGCTCATGTATGGGAGAAGGTGTTGTACACCCATCTGTTGGGGAGAGGTGGGACAGAGAGTTATGGATGGCACTGAGATAGTGCTGAAGATGAACAAGCAGATTCAACAGGTCCAACAGAGATTGCTGACAGCCTAAAGCCGCCAGAAGAGTTACACTAACAAATGGCGATCCGAGCTTGAGTTCCAGTTTGGGGATTTTGTGCTTCTGAAGGTTTCCCCATGGAAAGGGGTAATCCGATTTAGGAAGCGGGGAAAGTTGGGGCCTCAATATATTGGGCCATTCAGAGTGACCACCAGGGTAGGCAAGGTAGCTTCCCGTTTGGAGCTACCCACAGAGTAAAGTCAAATCCATGATACCTTCCATGTATCTCAGTTTAGAAAATGTATTTCCGATGAGATGGTTGTAGTTCCATTGGAGGATATTTAGGTCGATGCGAGCCTGAACTACGCTGAGAGGCCGATCGCGATCTTGGATCGGAAGGTCAAGGTTCTAAGGAACAAGGAGGTGCCTCTGGTTCAGGTCCTGTGGCATCATTGTAAAGGATCTGAGTTGACCTGGGAGACGGAGTCGGATATGCGGGGGCAACATCCAGAGTTATTTTCGGTCGAAGACTTCGAGGGCGAAGTCTAATGCTAGTGGGGGAGAATTGTAACATCCGGATTTGCGGGTATGCTATTTTAAATATTTATTTTTGGGATTTTTGGAGGGAATAGATGAGTTGGTGCCTCAATTCGTCAAGTAGGGTCGGGATCCTTTGATGCATTTAACGATCGGACTCGACGAGTCAGGTATCTGACTCGATGAGTCGGTGCTGACGAAGAAAACCCTAATTCCCTGGGTTTGGAGCCTATTTAAAGGCCCTTATGGCCTTCATTTATGGCCACTACACCCCTGAGAAACCCTAGAGAGCAGAGAGAGAGAGATCTTGTAGAGCAAGAGAAGGGCTAATTCTTCATTCTTTGGTGTGTTTTTGCAAGGGGAAGGAAGGATTTCAGGCTAGGCTGACTTGCAGGACTCAAATCTACCATAATTTCGTTCAGAGCTACTGTGGGAGGTATGGATTCATGCCTATCTTCATTTATGTAATAGATTTCATGAATCTAGGGTTTCTTCTCTTCATTTTTAGTAGAGATCTACTGTTTGTGATGTCCCCTTGTGACAATATTATCATATCTGGACCTTAAGAGGTCCAGAGTGTCCCTATCCTTCATCTTTATGCAATCCTTTATGAGTTTTGGAGCCTAGGTTATCATCTTTATGCAATCCTTTATGCAATCCTTTACGTGAATTTTGGGTTCTAGGAGGCCAGATCTATAGGTTGGTGAAGCAGATCTGACCTCAGGCGGTCGATTGAACATGAGCATGTGGGAAACTCGCCGAGTCCATTGGTAGACTCGACGCGTCGGGTCGGGTTGCCCGCGATTCGTGACCATTGGTGACCCGACGTGTTAGGTGAGTGACTCAGTGAGTCGAGTGAGACCTTGGGAGGAATCTGAGTACGCGTATGGACTCATCGAGTAGTCGCATGAAGTCAATGAGTCTGGTCAGTGTGGACTGTTGATTTCAGTTGACTTTTAGGGTTTAGTCAACCAATGGACCTTTGGACCAGTAGAGGGGTAGAATGGTCTTTTAACCTTCTATAAGTTATAGTAAGAGACTTATTTAGCCTTTGAGAGCCGTTATTAGTAATTTATTTATGTGATTAGGCGGAGGCTAGATCAGTATTCCGAGTTCAAGACTGCTTGAGATTTCCCGAGGTGAGTCTTCTCACTATACTTTACTTAGAGTGGTAATTAGAGTTATGTGACAGAGCATCTTGTATGCTTTTGTATGATGTGATTTCTATGTGACTTGCGCTATGTATCATTCAGAGTTTACAGAGTTAGGACCGGAAGGTCCACAGAGTTAGGACAAGAGGGTCCACAGAGTTATGGGACTGGAGGGTTCCACTGAGACACATTGACCAGAGGGTCATAAAGAGTTATAGCCTCGAGTGGCTAATATTTGTTGTATGTGGTATTTTGGGTAACTCACTAAGCATTTATACTTACAGTGTTATGTGTTATGTGTTTCAGGTACTAGCGAGGATCGCGGGAAGGCGTCGACATGATTTGTACACACTAGCAGAAGATTATGTTTTTTTTAATATTCTGGGATATGTTTATTTGTGATGACATTTGATAACATGAGGCTTAGGAATATTATATGAATTTTATTGTGTTTATAAAAATGAAAAATTGTTTTGGAAATTCTCGTCGTTACAAGTTGGTATCAGAGCCTTGGTTTGAGGGATTCGGATGCACCTTCGGGGAAATCTGAACTCAAACTGAGGATTTGAGAAAGAAATTTTCATAAATAAACAATTTTTTCTAAAAAGAGTAAATGATTTTGAGACAAACAGATCAGAGCCGTGTGTACAATCAGCCAGCGCCCGAACGGTGATTTCCCAAAAACCCAAACATTATGTGTTATAAAATATTATATGATATACTATGCATTCTTAGAGTGGGATAGGTATTCATATCTAGGACTAGAGTAGCCTGATTTGTGATGCCTTAGCCTAGGAGATTACTGCTACTATGAGATACTTCGAGAGCAAGTAGGTAGCAACGAGGAGATTAGGAGTGGTTTACTGGTGAGTAGCCTTTAGCGAGATATATAGTACTTGTGATTTGGGATCTTAGGAGGAGGACTTGGGGCGAATATCGATGCATTGTGGAAGGTAGTATAGGGCCCGTACTACTAGAAACACTGGATCGACGAGCAGTCCATGTAAAAATCCTTAGGATGCTAAGGAACAAGTAGGGTGGAGTATCGAGTGTGAGTATACTCGAGCAAGTATCTGATTTTTTGTGTTGTGTTTCAGAGACATCACGGTGAGTACGCGCCACACTCCCAGAGAGCAGCGGTGTCAGCGATAAGGAGATCCGCAGGATGATTCATGAGGAGGTGGCCGCGGCCATACGAGCTGAGATACCGGAGATGTTTGGGTCTATCAAGACCATGTTGATCGAGATTTTTGATGAGCGGTACGCTGCTCTTACTCATTCTGTTGTTGTTGCGGCCACCGCAGCCGTCGCTACTACCAGGCCACAGGAGGGTGACTCATTGCTGTACCGAGAGTTCAGTAACACAAAGCCACCAGAGTTTGATGGGACTCAGGATCCGATATCTGCGATGAGATGGATCTATGACATTGAGGGATGCTTCTACATGTGTTCATGTCCGGAGCATCTGAGGGTACGGTTCACGCTGAACTAGCTTCGTTTGAGAGAGAAGGACCGGTAGAAGTTAGTGACAACGGATTTCACTTCTGCAGAGCTTACCATGGTGACCTGGGAGAGGTTCACCACTATGTTTCATGATGAGTATGTTCCCCCACTGGAAAGGGAATGGTTGGCCCAGGAGTTCTTGACCCTCAAGTAGGGTACTGAGTATGTTACTACGATTACCAGGATGTTTCTCGAGAGGGCGATGTTCTACCCTGAGCAGGTGTCTTCTGAGCAG